GGTGCTGCGGGCCAGTGAGTGCCCCCACCCCAACCAGGCGTGGAGGCCAGCTCAGCCTGAGATGAGGGTCCCTGCAGCCGGCCTCCACCCAGCAGGGAAAAGAAGCCGAGTTTAGGGGCAGGCCTCCTGGGGCTAGAATCTGGACTGACTTGTCCCAGACTGGATGACCCTATCTATAACGTGGGCCTGCCACACAAGGACAGAAGTGAGAGGCAATCTTTTTGGTTTTTTGTTTGTTATTTTTGTTTTTTGAGACAGGACCTGGATATGTAGCCCAGGATGGACTCAAATTCTTGGCGATGCTCCTGCCTCAGCCTCGCGTATATTAGGATTATAAGAATGTACCACCAGACCTGGCTCTGGCTTAGAGAAGGAATCTTTTTTTATTTCACTTCTTTCCTTCCTTCTCTCTCTCTCTCTCTTTTTTTTTTTTTTTGCGGAACCGGCAATTGAACTCAGGCCCTTGTGCTTGCCAGGGAAGCACTTATTCCACTGAGCCCCTCCCCCCTCTTTTTAAGACAGGGTTTCACTTTGCAGTTCAAGCTGGCCTTGAGCTCACTTTGTAGCCCAGGCTGGTCTCAAACTTGCAATGATCCTCTTGCCTTAGTCTCCTGAGTTCCGAGATTTCAGGCGTGTGCCACCATGCCCGGCCCCAGGGAATCTTAATGGTCCAGTGTGCACCATCCCCAGGACCTCCCCTTTCCCCCAAATCCTTCTTCCTCCTTGCTAATGGAAAGTGCCCTGACTATGGCCTTGGAGACATACGAGGTCCTGGCCTGTGTCACTGGCCCCCTCTCCAGCGAGGCCCAGAGCCCACCTCTACCGCATCCACACCTCAATCCCAGCCACCCAGCTCCGTCAGCATAGGAAAGGGGCAAGGAGGTGGTGTCTACAACCAGAAAAAAGAGCAACTGCCTACGGATCTGACAACTGGGCACCAATGGCACGCGAAAGGGACAGAACATTCCAGAACTGCCACTCGGGGGCTGTGCCAGCGCCCATAAAACAACATGGAAATATTCTGGGACACAGAAGGGCACACAAGACCCCCAGAACTGCCTGGATTAAAATAAGCTCCACAAAAATGAGGAAGTACCTACCACCAGCAGGCTAACTGTGCTAGAAGTTTGGAGGTCAGGTTTTTCTTTAATTGTTTTCTTTTTCTTTGTTTGCGGTACTGGGGATGGATCCCAGGAACTGACTGCTTGAAACCCGAGTTCACCACTGAGCTATACTCGGGGCCTCTACTGTTACCTAACTTCTTTGGGCAAGCTGAAGCAAACACGGTTAAACTGCTCCTTAAAAATCTCCACACGCTAATTCTTTAAAAAAAAAACAATTCTTCTGTGGCAGAAAAATGTGCATTGGAAAGTGAAAGTCCCCTAGGGAAGATCCCACACAGAAGAACTGGCACACAGGACGCGGTCCTTCCAGAATCTTCTCCACGCCTCCATGCCCTGTTCCTGTTGTGTCAGTGCTGGTGTGGAATCCCTATCAGGCTCCTGAAGCTCAGCCAGGAGTCTACCTGTCCGTGTGGCCAACCAACCGTTCCGCCCGGCCCTTGGCTTCCCACACCACGTCTTACTGTTTTGAGAGTTGTTTGGGGCTCAGGTTGATGGACATTTAGGGGTCCTGGTGTTGGGTTTTGTTGTAGGTGCCTATGGCCATACATCTCTACAGAGCAGGCCAGTAACTTTCCAGGGCTCACTGCCTGAGACTGAGTTGTGAGGGCATAAATTATGGACACTGGGTATGTTTGTGTATGCCTGTAATCCCAGACTGAAGCAGGAGGACTTTCAGTTTGAGCCCAGAGTAGGCAACTGAGTGACTTAGCAAGACCCTGTCTCAAAATTTTTTTAAAAAAGGCTGGGTATGTAGCTCAATGAAAAGGGCCTGGGTTCAACCCCCCAGTACTGCAATAAATGAGGGAATGAATAAATAAATACTAGGAAAAAAGTTATGCAGGGGCTGGGGAGATGGCTCAGTAGAATAAGCGCTTTCCTGGCAAGTGCAAGGGCCTGAGTTCAATCCCCAGTTCCACAAGAAAAAAAAAAATCTGAAAAAAGATATATGCCAAAGTTATAATTTGGGTACGTTCTGCCACTCTGTGCTCCCAGAAGACTGGACCCAGTTTTGGACCCATTTTGAGCCCTCTGTTCTGTTCAGGGGTACCAGTGCCAGGCTCATTCCTTCCACAGTGGGGCTAGAGATCTGGGTCCTATGCTCAGGCCCAGGCCCAGGTCCAGCTGCCCACCACATGCTGGGGGTCCACAGAGGGACCGCACACCTGCGGATGACAGGATGCCCTCTTATCTGTGGTCATGGGGGTGCCGGGACCTGCTGGCACCTGCTCCCAAGAGCAAGCCGACACATTTCCAGTTTTTTCCAAGCAGTTGTTCAATATGGCTACCACTGCCACTATTTTTTTTTTTTTTCCCATACCAGGGATTGAACTCAGGACCTTGTGCTTGCCAGGGAAGCGCTTATTCCACTGAGCTATCTCCCCAGTCCTATTTTGGGGTTTTTGAAACAAGGTCTTGCTACATAGCCCAGGCTGGCCTCAAACTTGCCATCACACCACGTTCAATGTGGCCATTATGAACTCAATTCTCCAAACTTACAATGAAATAAACAGCATATTTTTTTTTTACAAACATAACAATGAACAAACCCACTACTTGCTAATTCCTTTACTTACGCTCGTTCTTGCTGTCAAGGTTCCTGGACCTAAGCAGTATGTGCGGTGGGAAGAGGAATTCAAGATACCGTGTGCTACCTTGCCGGAGAGCAAGTTGGTTTGGTCAGGTTGTGAGAATATTTGGGCAACAACAATTGTACAGGGCAAGCCCTTGTCTCAACTCCTCTATTGTTAAGTATTTACCAAACATCACAGGCCTATGTTTTCCTCCTGTACTGGAAACTGAAGCCAGAACCTTTACACAGTGCTAAATCCCCAGCTCTTATTTATTTATTTATTTATTTATTTATTTATTTATTATGGTTTAAGACAGAATCTCACACAGGCTGGGCTTGAGTATGGCAGTCTTCCTGCCTCAGCCTCCCAGAGTGCTCAGATTACAGGTGGGTACCACCAGGTCCAGCACCACGGCCTTGTAAGGTCTCTAATCCTTGGTATCTAAAGTCCATCATAAGCCAGGCATGGTGGCACATGCCTCCCTGTAATCCCAGCCCTCGGGAGGTTGAGGCAGAAGGATTGTTGCAAATTCGAGACCAGACTGGACAACAAAATGAACTCATGGCCAGCCTGAACTGCACAGAGACAGCGTGTCTCAGAGAGAGAGAGAGAGAGCGTGTCTCAGAGAGAGAGAAAAAGCGTGTCTCAGAGAGAGAGAGCGAGAGTGTCTCAGAGAGAGAGAGAGAGCGCATCAGAATCCTATATAATCAGACCTCACACATCCACCTGGCCCCCTCTTTCCTGAGGAGGAAGAAGAGGAGGGTCTGGAGTGGGTGCCCTGCCTCTGGGTGTGAGTGCAGGCAGCAGAGCCACTGTGTTCCCATCTGTGAAATGGGTGACTGCAGCCACTGTCTTGCAGGGTCCCAGGGTGGGTGGAGAAGGCACTGTCCCATCACCTGTGGCTAAGAGCAATGTTCTGGGAGCCAAATCCCTGCCAAGTCACTCAATGCCTCTGAAAGTTGGTTTCCAGTCTCTCACGAGTGTTAAGAGACCAAGGATTAAGTGCTTTCTTCTCTCTCTCTCTCTCTCTCTCTCTCTCTCTCTCTCTCTCTCTCTTTTCAGTACCGGAGATCAAACTCCGGACCTTGCACTTGTCAGGCAAGCATTTATACCACTGTGCTATCTCCCTGGCTCTTGATTAAAGGCTTTAAAATGCTGGGCTTTGCCAGTGAAATAGCTCAGTGGTATAAGCGCCTGGCTGGCAGGCACAAGATCCTGAGTTCGATCCCCAGTACCATTAAAAAAAAAAAAAAAAAAAAAAAAAAACCAACTGGGCTTTCTGCTGACCCCAACTTGAGGAAGACCTTGGGTGCACAGAGGGGTGATTGGTGTCCTCAAGACAGATTGGAGACCCACACTGTGTGTGTGTGGAGGGGGTGCTATGATCCCCAATTCCTCGAGATCCCTTCTCTGGCAGCCTCGGTAGGCAGCACAGGTCAAGACCCTGCCTAGGCAGCACCCTTCCTGGGGGCAGAAAAGGAGGGAGAGAGCAGGCAATGCCAAAGTTCTTGCCAGGCTGTGGGGATAGGGAGACTGCTTAAGACCTGGGGAAGGTGAGGGTGTTAAAAGCTGGTAACAGGGGCCAGGGAGATGGCTCAGTGGAATAAGCGCTTCCCGGGCAAGCACAAGGGCCTGAGTTCAAGCCCCAGTTCAGAAAAAAAAAACAAAACAAAACAAAACCTAGTAACAATAGGGGCAACTGGGAGGCTGAGGCAGGAGGATTGCCATGAGTCTGAGGCCAATGTGGGCTACACAGTTCACATCCAGCCTGACCTTGTCTCAAAATACAAAAAAATAAAATAAAAATTAAAAAGCCCTAGTAACTAGTAACAAAGTAACAACAATAGCAAGTCCTTGGCAGGCATGACCTCTCCATTGACCTTCACTGCATCCTGGGGGTCCGTCATTAGCAGCTCAGATCACGCTGACAAGGAAGCAAGGAAAGGAGGCTTGAACCCTGGGCCCTGCCACCGTTGTCGCAAGCCCTCCTTTCCATCCACTCCTCAGACGGGACACCCAAGGCCCAGAGAGGGCAGGGAACTCTCCCAGGGCTGCAGTGTTCTGAGACCCGGCTTCCTGGCGAGAGCTGGGTGGACGGGGGCTAAAGACCAGAGTCAGGTAAATAATGGCTCAATTTGCTTGCGACCTAATGCTGAAAGCCTGTCATGTGAAATCTGGTTCCAGCACACCGGGGTGCGTGGTCACCTTTCCCCGCCACCAGAGCCCTCCCCCAATCCCAGCTGTGAGGGGTGTAAACTCAGGCCCAGGAAAGAGGTGGGCGACACTGGAGTCCCTGGACACTCACCTGTGGGGCCGAGGCTGCAGGCGGCCAGCAGCAGGGCGAAGCCAGGGACGAGCGCGCAGCGGGCCATGCCGTGGGCCGGGACTCAGAGCTCTGGGCCCTATCCGGTGTCCAGGGGCAGGGCTGCGGGCGGGCGCCGGGGCCGGCGTGGGCTCGCACAGGGATCCGAGGGGAGCAGGCGGCCGGAGCGGCGTCCCTGCTCCAGCCTTCTGCGGTGGCGGCCGAGGGGTCAGGAGAACAGTGCACGGGACGGGGCGGTGGTTGGCCGGTGGCAAGGAGGGGCACCGGCTGCCGTGAACAACGACAGGGGCGACGGTCCCGGCTCAAGATGGGGACGCAGATGGAGGCTGGGGTGACCGACGGCAGCGGGAGCTCTCCAGGCTCATCCAGCCCGGCCCAAGGAGGCAGGAAATGCGCTTCCTTAGAGAAGGGGCTGGGCCAGGCCACCCGCCAGGCGGGGAGAGGAAGTGCTCTGGCTTTGTGGCTGGGTGGGGGGCCTGGAGGGGCGGGGTAGAGGGTTCAGGCTGCGGGCTTGTCTCCCCACCGTCCACCTTCTATTCAGCGACCCCAAGACCGGCCCTCCGGGGATGGAAGTGGTCACCCCAACAGTCCGTGGAGGGCACTTAGCAGGGCACGGGCACTAAATCCTTGCGGGGGAAACACACCACCCTGCGGGCTCAGCATTCCCATTTTGCAGATGAGGAAGCTGAGACCTGAGGAGGCAAGGACACTGGTCCCCAAAGACTAGAAGCCCGGACTCACGGATGCTGCCGGGCCCGGAAGCCAGGATCACAAGCCAGACACTGGCCATCTGGCACTTTGTTTTGCAGACAGGGAAATGTAGGCCCAAGACTGGCAAGGAAGAACACCCTCAAGTTGGCATAGCAAGGAATCTGGGTCCCAGAGAAGGCAGAGGACCCCATGTCTGCCCTCTCTAACCCTCTAGAGTAAAAGTCCTTCAGGGACAAAAGACAGGCCCAAAGAAGGGCTTTAGACTCTCGTGATCTAGGGTCACAGGCTCGGGGGTCACCCCTACTCTGCTTGCTCCGATCCATCTTGGAAAGCGGGGTTCAGCAGTGCCACCTTCTCTCTGGCTGTTGGGAGATTTACAAGGCTGGGGCCCACAATGCTGGGCCCTGCGCTTGGCACCCAGGAGCCAACCAACCCCACCCCCGCCAGAACTGTGCATGCTTGCTGTGCGTGCCACACCGCAGGCACCATGCACCGGAGCAGCCCGGGCCTAGCGTGCTCGCAGGAGAAAGCCTGGGCCCACTGCAGGAGAGTGGCACGCAGGCTTCCCTTGGAGGGATCTGGCATAGGAAGGGGCACCAGCCCAGGCAGAGGCACCGACGCATGTGCCCAGACCTCTGTAGGACAGAAGGGTGTGGTGGGGACAGGAAGCTAGGAGAGGCAGACTTGACGTCAGGCCTTTATCCTGAGGGCCGGTGGGAGCCGTGTCAAGTCCTTGAGCTGAAGTGTGCGGGAAGAGCTGGGCTTCAAAAACCCACTCTTCATGTGTGTAGTCCTGGAGCACTGATGGAGAAATTGAGGTTCGGGGAGGGAAGAGAAGGGGGGAGCCCCTGGAGGTAGGGCTTCGGCCCTGGGTGCTTCCTGCCTGTGTGACGCTGGCAGGCCGAGGGTTGTCCTGCAGGAGTTGGCACAGGCCAGGAAGGGTGGTGTGGCTCCTTGGGTGGGGGCTGGGGGAAGTGTTGTCCCATGGGTTCCTGGGATGTGGGGACCCACCCTGGCCAGCAAGCCACCTTGGGAGTGGCTGCAGTGCAGAGACCAAGCCCACAGTGGCTGGGAGGGAAGAGAGGGGGTATGGGGTGTCCAGACCCTACAGCATGGTCTGCACCCCAGGGACAGTTAACTCAGCCCCAGGCCACTCCCTAGGCGTTCACCTTATCAGCCTTGACTCCTTCCAGACACCCCAGAGGCCACTCTGTTACACCCCATTCCACAAAGGAGTTTCCCCGAGGTTTGAGTGACTCCCAGTTGGCGAGTGGAGACCCCAGTACCACTGGACACCACGTTGGACTCCTTCTTTGCTGTCTCCTGAGCTGAGTTTGGAGTGAGGGCATATAGTGCGGTGACTGGGGCACCTTGTGGGGGACTGCTATGGAGAGGGGCTTGCATGGGTCTCTGGGCAGCAGCAGGAACCCCATCTACTGCTTTTCCCAAATCTCCTCCCTACCCTTTCCTTCCGCACTGCACAACCCATCCCCACCCAGGACCTTATACAGACCCATTGGCATCTTTAGAAAGTACCAGATGCCAGATGTGGTGGCACAGGCCCGTGATCAATGCGTTGGGGAGGCTGAGGCAGGAGAATCTCTGCGAGTTCAAGGCCAGCCTGGGCTATGTATAGAGAGTTCAAGGTCAGCCTGAACTACATAGCAAGACCCTGTCTCAAAAAACTGAAAGGGAAAGAGACTCCAGGTGGACACAAGGCAGAACCTAGACCTAGTCCAGGGAGAAGCAAACTTCTCAGGAGGTGCAAGGACACTGGAGCCCTGACCCAAGGCCTTGTGGGGAAAGGAAGAGGTGGGGACCCTGGGGCTGGTGGGAGAGGGGCCCCTTAGCTCCAGCTATGTGCCAGGCGTCCCCTCCATGCCCAGCCAGGGTCAAGCCATGCTTAACACATTAGGAGCCCCACAGGGACAGGACAGGGGCTTTGACTGCTGTGGACCTGCGCTGCGACAGAAGATGAGTTTATTGGAGGGATAAGTTAGCCTGAAATGTAAGGCAGGGGTGAGGATCGTGGGCAAGGACACTGCGAGGTAGGCTTGGCTCTCGGTCCCTAGTAGAAGACACCTGGACTGATTCCCCTGTCCCCGGGAAGCTCAGGTTTCCCATGGGCTTGCAGCTGGGGACAGACGGGTAAGCTGTTCTCTATCCTGAGGGACGCGGCCTCCCTCACTCCGGCCCACCCCTAGAGGCCACACGGAAGTGCAGCAGAGGGAGACACGTGCCTGCATCTTTCTCCCATGTTCACAGGAGATAGGTGGCCCTCTCTGCAGGCCCCTGTCCTTCAGGCCCAAGGTGGCCCTGCCACACTTGGGCCGACAGACCCTCCCCACCCCCTGTGACGCCGGAGCCATCTGTGTCCTGTGGGAGACAGATGTTTCCAGGCGCCGCCCGCCCATGCACACGCCAGAGACGCTTGGTGGCGAGCCAGGGTCTGGACCCCTCAGCGAGCAGATGCTTGTCCTGCTCCTCCTCCTCTCCAGGGCAGGAAGGCACGGAGCCCGGAGCACGTCTGCCCTGGCTGCAGGCCACCACAGGAATTCCAGGTGGCCCCAGGGGCCCCAGGCAGGGCTGAGGTCTCCAGCACCGGCCTGGAGCCAGGGGCTGTTGGTCCCTGTGGGCAGGGACAGGGCACTGAGCTGCGAGGTTGGGTGCCCAATTCCGCCCCACACTGTCGGAGCCTCAGTTTCCTCATCTGTATAGGGATGGGCCGTCTGCTGTCCTGAGGAAGCTCAAAGAGCCAGCTAAGATAGGAGCCACTAGCTTGACAGGTGTCACCCCTCAGCCCCCTTCCTAGGCTGAGACCACCAGATCCCCATATTACAATGAGGGAAACTGAGGCATGGGTGGGTAAAGCCCCGAGGCTTGGGAGAGGCAGTGTATAATGCAAATCTGGGTCTGTCTTCTCTTGCCTTCCAGAATATTACATTCTGTTTCCCTCCCACATTTCTAGTCACCTTCTCACCCTTCCTAGTTCCTCCTCAACCCCTGATATGGCCTGAGGTCCCTTCCCTTCTCTGTTGACTGACTTCCAAATCAGCTTTTCTCAGATCTTTGGGACCCTGATGTCATGTCCAGCTCGGGGACAAAGAACGTCTGGGACTCAGACTCAGCTAATGGGAACAGCGTCTGTGAGCCTGTCGGTCGATGCTGTGGCTACAGCAGTGTCCTCTGGGTGCATCCACCCGAGCAGGGTGCTCCCCTTCCCGCCAGCCAGTGGCCTCCTAAACTAGAAGATGCCACGTACTGTGGTCTTTTTTTTTTTTTTTTT